CTAACCTCTACTGCCACCCCTGCTCATCATCACTCACTCACCACTCACTACACACACCATCCATACACCACACTACCACCTCACACCATCACCCACCTACCACACACACCCTCAACCTACCTCACCTCAGCCCCCCTCTCTCCTCCCCTCCGCCCCTCACTCCTCCTCTCACACACACCACTCTCACCATCCTCACACATCCTATACCTCATCTACCTTTACCCTACTTATAATACTCTTTCTATCGTACTACCTTCCTTCTACTCACCTCAAGGTTAAAATGGCGGACAAAGTGGCACCGCCGACATCCCCTAGTCACCTGTTTCATTTAGCACTCACGATAAATTTCAATCCTGCTTAAGAAGATGAATGATTATAATTAATTAGACCTGCTAAAATTCAATGTTGTTATTGATAAAAGACTTAGATTAAACGGGACGTTATATGAACCCTCTAGTGATGGTTTATTTTACTATAGTTATTGAGTAATAAATATAATTTCATTTATATTTAAATTACGCCACTCATAATGGATTCCCCTCTTCCAGCATACTGTAAAGCTCATTCTTTGAACTTTATTCCTGCGCGACTATACAAAGGCATGAGCCATAGTACCGAGCATATAACCTTTATTGATACTTAGAATAAACTCGATGCAGATGGACTATGGGTGGAGGTTTTCTATCTAGGCGAAACCCGCACACATTTCAATAAAATAATGGGGTTAATAAGATGTTTATCGAGCTAGAGATAAATCTAACATATTAGCTAAGCATACTGGGACATATAAATGAGAGTACACCCTACACAAGCAGGAGTAGAATAAATAACATATTACTTAGTTCCAACTAGGAGTAACATACTTTTAGTACATGTGCATATATATTTTCCTTTCTCTCTTTCTGTCTATTTTGTTTTCCCAGATCACCCCCACCATACATGATTTAGGTTTAATTAGTTATTTGTGATTCAATAGCATTAGCCTTATTCATCTAATAACCTTACAATTGTTATGAAATAGAGCAACATACATATTCAAACCCCCACCAGCACATACACGTACTAACATAAGGCACACACCCAATTAGTTAAGAAATTTGATTGTCTCTTTTACTGAGAGATCATTTCATCAATGGAAACCAGTCAAGGTGACCAAGATTCCACCCATCAAAATTACATCCGGAAATGTCGACATTTTCACACTACTCGCACACTATAGTGAGTATGATATGAGCGTGCAACGCCAAAGGTTATACTTACATTTCTATCCAATCTAATGTGCTTTCATGGTGAAAAGGTTATAGCCACAACTGCCTCTTAATAAAAATTCTGCCTCCTTTGATATGTAGATGAATCCGCTCATACTTCCCAGTGTGAAGAGCTATTCGCTGAGAAGAGGGTATTCATTTAGGGAAGGCGAGTTCCAGGTAAAAAAAAACAGATTATGGGCAAAAGCAAAAGAGCGTTCTACATTATCATGTCCGACTGCTGCCCTGTCAGAATAATGTGATCAAGTTTTCGTTGGGAATTACTGCGATCGTCGTATCACACGTTAGATTCATATAATGTCATATAATCCATTTTTGATTCTGAGAGCCTCATTTAGTTGCCTGAGCACGTCGGCACAGTTATTCTGTTTGCTTTTTGGTACTTTACGAACGCATTGTCCTTCTCATTACAGAAAATTGAGGCTATTGACGAAATCATCTTGGAGGGAGCGAGAACGTGCATTCCCCTAAAGCAAGGACGGCCTCTGGCTCAAAGCGACTGACCCAGAACTCATAAGGGGTTGGGGGATGTTCAGTGGATTTCGCCAGAACTGATTCCAAACGTTTGAAGTCCTCTCTTGACGTGACAAGCCTGATGGTGCTTGCGATGAAGGGTCACCGGAAGACGTGACACTCACCAAATCCTTGACATTTCAGTCCTTCTCAAGCTCTCTCACTCGAACATGAGCTACATGAACGATAAGTCGATTTTGAATATCAAATTACCATTTGCAATGCGACTCTTAGCCTCGGTGGTGGCAGCTGCAAACTCATCTGCTCCAGGGGTCGTGTGTTTGGCGCTAATCACCGTATTCGAATCGAATCCATAAGCGACTGCAATCCAAAGGTGTTCTCAGACCAGCTGCCCGAAAATGCAAACGTGCTGATGAAAATTTTTAAATGACAAAATATTTTATGAACTAATTTTCGAGCTATTCGTCTGAGGACACCTGTAGACTCCAGTTACCCCTCTCACTTCGCGTTGGTGATGGAGATTTTATCCCTTGATATTACACCCTTATCTACATAGGTTAAATAGGAGAGAGTAAACCTCAATTACATATTTTTTCTATGATTTATCTACTTATTTGGTCTTTTGTTAGTAATAATACATCTACTATGACTATTTTTACTACTATCATTATCGTTGTCATTATTTTTATTATTATTATCATCATTATTTTTCAAATGCTTATAATCAGCAACACCTGAAGTCGCCCACAACAATCGTC